GTACTGATATAACTTTTGACATTTCCCTCAATGTTTTCTTTGTCATTTTTATAGCTTCGCTCATACCTTTGGCTTTTCGCTGATCATATCGCAATCAAATTAAGTGATATCGCTGACAATTAAGATGGAATTTCGAATGCAGATATCATTGCTTTGAATGTACATACTTATATAATATAATAATATACTAGAATATACATATGTATGAAGGCTATTGAAGCCGGCAATGTTAGCAAATATTAACGACACATCTGTTCATAATTTCTGCATAAACTTTWAACATAGAAATTTCCTTCCTTCCACGGTTCACCACAATGTAACCTAACAACCGCGCCTAAAAGTATGCACCGTGTTAAGTAACAGTAGCAGTCCACCATGTAATTTTGATTAGTATAGCTGTAAAAACTAACAGTTTATTTTGGAAGTATCCAAAATAACGTATAATTATACGTTCTCTGGTATCCACAACCAATTGTTATTACTTTACAGTTACAACAGTTACAGTTACAGCTGAACATCTGTCACTTGCTTAGGATTTCCCCTAACGCAGTGCTGTCAACAGCAGCTGATTCAGCTGTTGCGCGTCATCTGTTTCACGTATGCCTTGTCACTGCCACAGCGAATGTGAAGTGAATGCACTGACCCGATTTTGTAAAACTTCTAGCAACCTTTGAATTTTGTCAATTTTGTCAAATCTTGAGAATTTTTAACATTTCGTATTCAGTTGAAAATTTTTTACGCACGCAGACACATGCAATAAAAATTCGAATTTCAGTTTTTTTCTCTCTCCGAAACGTACCAAAAAAGTTTTCTTCCACCAAAAAGGAAAAAGCGTAACGCGYCGCTAGCAAATAGTATTCGCAGATCGTTAAACACTGCGCTAGTTACAATAATAAAAGTGCGTAAAATTTGCGTTCGTCACCAACATCATATTGCAGCACAAAAGTTGTGACCCACACCATATCAACCCCACCATCACCATCTACCTCTCCTACTTTTTCAGCGGAACTGCAGAGTTTTCTTATAGTATCAGTAAAACTAAGACGATAAAAGCATGGAGAAAATTAATTCGGAAAATGTTGCGGAACTGAAGAAGGCCGTTAAGGATCAGGTGGAGGAGAAACCGAAGCTGGCACAACCGGAAACACCGAAAACCCCATCCTTGCCGGTGAGCAGCTTAATTGGCTTCAACACCGARGACTTTCTGGCGCGTGTCAATATGAATGAGAAGATTAATAACATTTTACGCTCGCCCACCAAGACACYGAACGGTGTGCGCCAACGCTCCGTTTTCACGGCCATAACGCCGTCATCGGTGAGTCAGCATTTTTGCCCTGTTTTTAATTCTCTCTGCTTGTTGTTTTTGATTTATTAGCTCATGACAGTGCGCCGGAAATCAAGTGTATCATTTCACTTGTAAACAGTCGCGCAAAATCATCTGTACGTGCATTAAGAGAAAAAAATTAATTTAAATGTCAACGAAATGTCAGTTGCGTGTCCTCAAGCCAGTTGACAGCGGCTTCCAGCTGATTGTCAATCGAAATTTTTCGAACTTCTGCTCAATGCGCTCTCTTATGTTAATTTGGTTTCTTTTATGTTCAGCAATAAATTTTTTTCTCTTTCAATTCTCTTTAATAAATTATTATTCGTTTTTTTGTCTCTTTGCAGTCGCGTTTCAATGCCAGCGCTGCTCCTTTTGTTTCGCAGCAACAACGTTCATCAGTCACTGCCGCTAACACGGGCACAGCAACTGGTGCCGTTATGACGCCCAAGGAGACATCCACGCCTTCGGCCGCATTGCAGGCTCGTCAAATGCCCATACCGGTGCACATGAGTGCAGCCTCTCCRCATCATTATGGTGGCTACGAGACGCCATTAACCGGACGTAGCRGTGGCATGTCGAGGGGTGTTTTTAATACTCGTTATCCCGTAGCACCACCACCATCGCCGATCTATGGTTTCGAAAATGAAATGTGTCGCATGGTGAGTGAAATCCTTCAAATCTCCATAGTAGAGCTCTGCACGGATTAAAGTTTGTGGAATTTTTTTATTTTATTTTTCTTTTCAAAATCAACCGCCTATACAAATAAACTTTGAAAACCGACGTTAATACATACGTCCAGGAATCCTGAAAAGCCCTTTAGATAAGGCAGGCTGTGCACTTTATGTGTGGACACGACGTTCCTTAGAWTTGGTTCCTTCTAGCAATCGATTGCCAAGATGGGTCAGCAAGTGCTCAGGGGTCTATATCAAAAAAATAAGGAAATATAATTCCAGTCGATAGTTCCAGTCGATAAAATGACTTTAGTCTTCGTTTCTTTCATTGTAAAGTTTTTTCAAGATTGAGGTGAAAACATTTAAGTAGTCATACCTACAGCGAAGTCGCCTAAATCGTCTAGACTTAGCCAAAATTGTCATTAGCAGTCTTAAACAAGAAAAAACGTTAACTTCAGTTGCACCGAAGCTAAATACCCTTCACAGGTGCATTTCTGTTAGTAATTATGTGTTCAGTTTGTATGGAAGCTATATGTTATAGTGGTCCGATATCGGCAGTTCCGACAAATGAGCAGCTTCTTGAAGAGAAAATGACGTTTGCAAAATTTCAAAACGATATCTTAAAAACTGAGGGACTAGTTCGTATATATACAGACAGACGGACAGACAGGCGGACATGGCTAAATCGACTCAGCTGGACATACTTTATAGGCACTCCGACCCTTCCTTCTGTTCGTTACAAACTTCGTGACAAACTTAATATACCCTGTTCAGGGTATAAAAATGTGTGATCGGCTCAAGGGGTTAGATGGGTTTCAGAGATACAAAAAAAAGGTATTTTTACGATTTTTATTTAATACAAGCAATCATATTTTTGAAAACTATAATATGTTGAATCATAGGTATATATTCGAACAATATCTCCTGAAATTTTGATACAAAAATGTTGAAAATTCCGCCGTTGAGACCGCATTACCCTGGGTGTCTCTCAAAAAAGTGCTCTCGCCATGGACAGCATAACTTATTATTGGTTCATATAAAATTAAAAACTAAGCATATTCTGTTAGTACATATCTAAATCTCGTTTTTGAACGTAGGAAATAAAAAAAATAATAAAATTGTCCTTCTTTTCTCGGACTTTGTACAAAAAAATCTCATTATTGGTAAAATTTTCAGCATTTTTTGGTCAGAAAAATTAGTTGTAGTGAAACCAGAAAAAATCCTTCGTTCGATAACTAGATAATATTATTTCAAAAACCACCGACTTCAAAAACRCGTTTAAAGACAGRGCACTTAGCGCAGCTAGCCTTGAGYGCACAAGTTCTCAAGGCTGTATYTCCGAAATTATTACTTAGATCAACTTTAAAATTCAAGACTATATTCTAGAGGTATTGTAGAATTTAATAAARCAAACAAAAAAAAATCGATTTTTGGAAATTTTYAAAYCCACCTAACCTCTCAAGCAGCTTAGTCAAGTTATGAGGATATTTATCATTTTTGTAGGAGTTCTAAGAACYGAACGGATCGGCTATAAGCTCTTCAAGTGATATCCCTGTTAGTAGTGACCTTTTAATCTAAGATAATCTAACCTTGGTCAGATATTTGAGGTAGCCGAGTATTTTTCGCAATACCAATGGAAGGCCTGGGTTCGAACCCTTCTCAATCCAGCCTAGGTAAATTTTCCTTCTAATAACAGTCAGCCCCCCTTGGTAATAAATATCAATATTATTTCACAACAAAAAAAAAAAAAATATCCTGAAATCCTTAGGACACTCCGAGTTGCCTTAAACATTTAACGTTTCTCTATTTATTGGTGTCTTCCTTTGGTACCATGAATATAWTTAATTATATATTCAAGTATAACTGAGTATTGAGATAACTTCCTTTCTCATTTATCTATCATAACTCTTATCCACAGCCTCCTACCATGTCACCCTCTCATCACGCACAACAGTTTCCACAACCCATGCCGCCGCCACCCTACGCAGTCGGCCGTTTGAGCGGCAGTCACCGCGGTGTTGAGTACGAGAATCCGACTCCGCCACCTTGTCCCGGTGCAGGGCCCATTGCCATGACTAATGGCACYATACAACTGCGTCTGCGCGACGGCATACGGTAGGCATATAAATTATTACCATAGCAACTTCAAGGCAAGAAATATATTATAAATAATCTTCATTTYGCTCATTATTCACCCGCCAGCATTGACATGACGCTGGACAAGGCGGTACGCGTACTCAATCAGCGCAGCATGGTGGCCATTGCACTGTCGCGCAATTGCAGCAACTCAGCGCTGATTCATCCAAACGGACGTATATTGCAGAGTGGTTCCAAAGTGGAGATAGTTACCTATGATGGCATGAAAACCAACAACTATGTGTGAGTTAATCAATGATCTAAAATAATTTAAATTCCTAGAAATAATTTTTGTTTCTTCAGCCGCTATGCTAAGATGTGGTACAAAGGCGTCAGCTTCACTAGCGAATCTTGTGCTTTGATCTACCTTGTAGACACGGCTGGCACGCGCACCACCACCGAYACCTTCACCGATCTCACGAAGGACTACACTTTGACTGTGTTTTATGAGTGCGTTGAGAATGCTTGAAAATTGTCAATTCTATTATTTCAGTCGAAACTGTTTTCGTTGTAGTGACTCCCGTCATGGTCCGTCCTATGTGCAGGATGCTAATGAAGTAATACAAAATTCCACATATTCCTGCACAGATGAGGGCACTGAAATCTATGAAATTAATGGTTTCCGTATCACGCAGGCCGCTGATGGACTTGTAAAGTAAGTTAATATACTGGAAATACTTCACACCCTTTTGTTATTTAAAAACTCGTATTTGATCTGCATTTAGACTGACACGTACTCATAATAAATGCTTGATACGCACAAGTCCTGGCAATGGTTCGGCCACTTTAACTACGCCAGGTATTCACTGTACAGCCTCGTTGGGCAAAACTTCACATTTGTTTGTTCGGTAAGTGAGAATGTTTATCTAATTAAGACACTAAATATATTAGACAAAACTACTGGCTAGAAAACAAAGTTCGATTTATAGCGATTCGATYCTTGGTAAGAGAATTCAAAAAAAATCTTATAACTTCTTATATATTTGCATTCTGCTCTTAAATGTTTCACTATTAATCTAAAAGAGGACGGCTATCTATGATAAAAAAAAATTAAAAAAATAGCATAAGATTATGATGTTTAATATGAAGGTGTTTTGAAAGGAAGTTGTACAGGAATATTTACTCCTGGTTAGTAAATCAAAACGACATCACGACCCTGGCAAGGGTTATCGGATTCCCATCGAGACAAACCTAAAATTCTTATATTGAAATCCTCCTATTAATTAGGCTTCAGAAGAACTTTAAACCTCATTCATTTAATGCGTCTCAAATTTTATATTTTTTACCAAATTCCGTATGCTAGATCGTTGCGAATGTTGAAAAATGTTTACGGTGATTCAGTTTTATCAATCAAAAATACTAGTATATGAGCCTTCAAACATGGACGAAAGATCGACCTCTTCAACTTACGAAAATATTAAAAAAAAAGTGCTTGAAAATCATTAAGCAAGTACTAAAGAGATAACAAGAGAGCTCGACATGTCTCACGAGTCCGTTAGAATGATCTTGGTGGATATTTTTGGTATGAAGCGCGTACTTGCTAAACTTGTCCGATATAGCTGAATTTTTTTCAATAAGACTACCGTAAACAGTTTTTTTTTTTTTTTTGTTTTTTGACATGCTTGATCGTGCGAATTTCGATCCCATATTAATAGAAAGCAATATATGTAACTACCGATGAGACATGGATTTATGAGTTAGACATGGAAACAATCATAGGAATGGAGGGGAAAAAATTAGCCGAAACCAATAAACCACGCCAAAGCTCCCTAAAAATCAGCGTAATTCTCATTGGTTGTATCATGAATTTGTTCCGAAAGGACAGGGAGTCAATAATGAGTTTTATTTGGGTGTACTGAGGCGTTTGCGTGTGAACAGGCAAACGGGCGGATTGAGGAAGAACAATTCATGGATTTTACAAGATGATAATGCACGCAACGAGTCACGAGCCACGATTGTGACCGAATTTAAAGCAAAAAACGCAATGAACGCACATCCATTAACCACCATATTCTCATAATTTGATTTCGGGTGATTTTTGTTTTTGTTTTTTTTTTTCCTAAACTGAAATTGCCGCTCCATGGAACTCGCTCTGTTCAATCGGAGAGATAAAACAAAAAGTTTTTGTGAAGAATATTTCGATTACTGGAAGAATCNTTTTTGTTTTTTGACATGCTTGATCGTGCGAATTTCGATGCCATATTAATAGAAAGCAATATAACTACCGATGAGACATGGATTTATGAGTTAGACATGGAAACAATCATAGGAATGGAGGGGAAAAAATTTGCCGAAACCAATAAACCACGCCAAAGCTCCCTAAAAATCAGCGTAATTCTCATTGGTTGTACCATGAATTTGTTCCGAAGGGACAGGGAGTCAATAATGAGTTTTATTTGGGTGTACTGAGTTTGCGTGTGAACATCCAAACGGACGGATTGAGGAAGAACAATTCATAGATTTTACAAGATGATAATGCACGCAACAAGTCACGAGCCACGATTGTGACCGAATTTAAAGCCAAAAACGCAATGAGTAACATCCATTAACCACCATATTTTCCAAATTTGATTTTTGTTTTTGTTTTTTTTCCCTCAAACTGAAATTGCCGCTCCATGGAACTCGCTCTGTTCAATCGGAGAGATAAAACAAAAAGTTTTTGTGAAGAATATTTCGATTACTGGAAGCATAGTTGGCATCAGTTTATTATATCGGGTGGGGATTGCTTTAAAGGCGACAAAATAAATATTGAGATTTCGTAGAACAAATAGTAATCAGACTAAGAGAGAAAGTACAAATGTATGCAAACTAATAAGTCCRAACACTCTTAACTGGTTTCTGCAAGACTTCGAGGATTGTTTATTTCATTCATACATGGTACATATAAAAGCCTCAAGCAGTTCTTTAACTTAAGCGGATCGTATTTAAAGAAAACTTAATGAAATCTGGGAAGGAAAAGGGGTTTGAAAATGTGTATAAAAAGTATTGTTCTTCGCTGAATATAATCTAGATGAAAGAGTAGCGCTTTGGCTACAACATAAATTGATTTTGTATTCTTCACCGATGATTCGAATTCTTGAACATTCAACGTAAATGGGTTGTCGAAACGGTTATTTTTCTCACCACTATCTTTTAGAACTATGAAGTTCTTGTAAGTGAATGCAAACTATACATACCATTTGATCAAATTGGACTCGGACTTGAACTGYGTACGCAAATCAAATAGATAAAAAAAGTCCCTATATTGTTTGACTGCTGATATTTTATTTGTCTGGATATCAGAGAATCTCTTCATCTCATATGGATACAATACATTTTGGTTAATGTTTCGGGTCTTTGCTGTCGTGAAACATGTCAATGCTAAATGCGTCTGTAAGTCGGGCATCTAAATAAAACGTTCATAATTTAGTACATACTGAGCATGATTTAAATAACAAAGCTATATTCTAGGCTATAAAGATCTTCTTTACCTACATTATTGTCTTAGAACCCAAACCCATGTGTTTATTTCTTTTTAGAGCTCAATTAGGTATTTGGAAATACTCCCTGTATTATATTCATTAAATATTACAACAAATAAACTAAAATATATTTTATTTTCTTTTATCTACAGTCGTAATGAAAAACGTATGCACTTCGATGGATCGTGTTTCATCGTACGCAACGCTGGGCATTCGGCCGGCTTCAACGAGAACAACTTACTGATCGTTTATTAAAGCTAAGCATGAAAACGGCAAAAACAGCATTTTTGCCAAAAC